AGGGCAAAGTTCATGGAATTAAGATGCTGTGAATTTGGACTGAAATCCTGGTTTTACTACTGATTCACTTTGTATTCTTGGCCAAATCACTTCCCTTCTTCAGTTTTCCACCTTTTTGTAATTGCTTATTTTTCTCCATGGTAGTGACTATCTGTTGTTTAGAATAAGGGACTCTGACTTTGGATGATAGTTTCATACTACCTCTAGAGGCATTTAGATAATTTTGTTATAAATAGTTACAGGAAAAGTGGCATTAGGTGACAGGAATTTCTAACTGTAGTATTAATAACGATGCTGTTGAGCAAGGAAATGTTATAAAATATGGGGTAGTTTTTGGTTTGGTGATACTTAGCACAGTGTTAAATCATGCCTGTTACAGATTAAGATAAAAAAAAATTCTCTGGTTCATAAATTTACAGTCACAACGTGATTGTAAGTTTATAGTGAGAACAAGTACAAAAATACAGCAGTAGAAAGCAAAACTAAATTATTTATTGCTGGGAGTTCTTTTTATTAGGTATTCAAAATCAGACTTGATTATAAGTTTTTAAAAGCAGCGCTTGCAGCCAGAATTGCTGCTCTGATGAGTTTGAGTCCTGTGCAGCCAGAAACAGTAGTGATGCATCAGGAACCCATTGTGTTATAGAAGTAATGTTTGAAGCTCATTCTATTAAAAAAATAACCAACCTGAGTTTGATACATGTATGTGCATACATATGTATATGCCTTTAATGCCAGAACAATGTTTCATAGACTTAGTGATATACTGTTCTTGTACTTTAATGGTTGTAGGATATTGCCAGCATTGCAAGACTATGTTAACTTTTTATAAAACTTAAATAGCCTTAGTACTAAGATTTTAGGATGATCTTTAAACTAAAAAGTCATCGATGATTTACATGAAGTATCTCTTGTAAGCTATTTGCTCCAGATGTAGTCATCTGGGTAATGAATGATCTGTGACATGAAATTTTGTTTTGTTTTTCAGTTATGTCTTCCAAGCTAGCTGTATCAGCTGCCCATTGGTGATAGTATCTACATTGGCCAGCATTTTTTTAAGCAAGACAGAGCAATTGAGAGGGATTCATAAACTAAGAATCTGAAAAGAAAGGAAATTTCAGTTGGAAGAAAGGAAACTTCATTTCGTTCCTGTATAGTTGGTTCCTAAATGGAGTAAGTGGTGGGATGCGATAGATGAGCAGTGCAGCGTGGGTGCCCGATGACTTGGAAATAAATCCTGGTCTTTCTGTAAAGTAGCCTTTTGCCAGGATCTAGGAGTCTTGAGAGTCCCCCTTTCCTGGTAGTGTTGTGGAAAAGAAACAGAAAGGAGTAGTCTTCTGAGTTGCTGAACAGAAGCTAAAAGCATATAAACCCAAGCTTTATATTTAGAAGGGAGGGCAGCCTTTTGCCAAAGGTAAAGGCTGTATAGTAGCATGTTTGTAGAGAGCTCCCCTGACTAAGTTCACATAGTACTCATGATCATTACAGAAACTTTCTGTGTTTATTATCTTTCTGAAGATTTGCTTTCTACAAAGCTTAGGCAAAAATGCGTTTGTCATCCGTTTCCTCTTTTATATGGTTGGTTCAAAGTAACTGTTATTTTCCTGCTTAAAATATTTACTCAATTGTGTTTGAATAAGGGGAGGTGGCAGAGGGACTGGGGTGAGGAAACAGAATCTTGTCGTGGAATTATCCTGCAGCTAGAGCGAGCATCTGTGCAGTGTGGAAAGCTCTGTGTGCTGTATTATGCTAATATGGAAAATTTAGGTGTTATCTGTTGAAGATCTGAGTGACTTTCTGTACTTGTATTAAGTTTTCTGTAATGTGAAGAGTTGCATAAATCATCATGAAGTCATACATGTCAGAACATTTTAAAAGGTAGAGCACCTCGGGTGATTTATCCTACGTAGTTGTTTATTTGTTCTTGCTTTTAGCGCATCAAGTGTAATTAAAGGCAAATTGTCTTAGTCAAGATTTTTTTAGTAGCTGTTTGTAAATACTTACGGAACCCCTCACAAGTAAAAAAAAAAAAAAATCTAATAGCTTCATGAGCAGTGGTACTTGGGAAGCCTGTTTTTTTGTTGTTTTTTTTTAAACATGTCCTTTGTTCCTCCTGCCCTTCCCCCATGTCTCCTACACAATAATTCTCTCCCTCCTGATGTATCTTGTAATACCCTTACCAGATAGGACACATGCTTTGGCAAGTCTGGCATCTCTTGTATATAATAATTGGTCAGCTGGCTGCTGCCAAACAGGGTATTTAATAAATAACTTATGTTTGTGGGGACACTGATTTGAGTTTTCACACAATCGGGTTGTGTGGTTAATCTGGTTGATCTCTAAGAATTCTTTGTTTTCAGTTTGCCTGGAGTCTGGCCATAGTGTAAAAATTATCTGGAGTGGAAGAATGGGAGGAACAAAACACTGATACTACTTTTAAATTGGGGTGTAAATGAATCAGTTTTCTAAGTCGCTTATGATATCCCTTGCCTGATGGTAGTATTGTCATTATGATAAGAAAGGATTTTGGCTTATTAGAGTTCTGTGGAGAATTAATGAGTCCATTGGAAACCAGATTTTGTTGGTTCTGAGAAGTAATTGAAATCACTATTGACTTCTGCTGTGCTTAACAGTGAGTGGTATGGATACCCCTTGTACATCTTATTTTACTGTTAAAATGTTCTTTTATTGGACAGTTGTATATTACAACCTTTGAAAATTATCTTTAATGCAACAGAGATATCCGTAACAAATTCAAATAGCAATTTGAGCAACACTGCTCCTGTTTCCTTTCACAGCTTTAAGAGCGAGCACAGGTTTTAAAAACTTGTAGGCAAAGGCTGTAAAATTGATGTATAAATGAGTGGTGACAGTGGAATGGCGGGCTAGGTAATCCAGGGAAGATTTGGGAATAGATGACAAAAGTGAAAATAACAGTGGCAGGGACATAAAGGTAGGAAATTAATATGAAATGAAAATAGTAAAAACATTAATGACAAGTGGAGATCAGGAATACTGGATTTTATGGTGTGCTAAGGTTGGAGGGACATTAGGAAATGGCAGCTATTTAAACGTAATTAGGCGTGGTGAAAGTACCTGTCTCATTACCTGGTTTCTTTTGTTTTTTTCAGTGCAGTACGGAGGATGATGCAAAACCTCTTTCATTTTGAAATAGCCTGCTCCTAGGAAATTTTGAAGAATATTTAGAGGTTTAGTTTTTGCATTATCTCATTTTAGAGAGCTAAAGTGCTCTTCTGGTTCACAGCTGGCCAGCTGCAAGGCTGATGTTTGAATTCTGAAGTTTTTATGGCACTTTAATGTATTCCAGTAGTTTAATTAAGGCATTCTTTCCTAATATAAACTTTGTAAAGTTTGTGTTTCTCAACCTTTCTTAAACAGCCTTCCTTTCGAAGAGCGGAAGGGGTTTGTGTGACAGATACAGGTTGCATTTGGGTCAGGATTTCAGTTTCGCTCCACAGCCTACACTTAACCCAGTCTCCTGGTTGCTCCTGTGTACTGTGCTTCGATTTACGTCATGCGGTGGTTTTGGAGCGCACAAACTGGTTTACTTTTTGGCAAAAGTAAATTGAAAGATATGATCTCAATGCTGATGAGCATTCAGTCCACTGGGCTAGAGCAGAGCTAGTCTGAAACATTAGAAATAATGTCTCCTTCCCTCCCCCCAAATGTGTGTAGTGCCAACATCAGGTCCTCAGTACTGAATTTTGGTGAGTAGGTGGTGATGAGTGGATGGAGACCACAGTGATTCAGATTGTCCCTTTGCAGCCCATGGAGGGCCACAGTGGAGCAGGTATCCACACTGCAGCCGTGGGAGACCCCATGCTGGAGCAGGTGGACATGCCCTGAAGGAAGCTGCAGCCCATGGACAATCCACGCTTGAGCAGTGTTTTCCTGAAGGACTGCAGCCCGTGGAGAGGACCCATGCTGGAACAGGGGGAAAGTGTGAGGAGCTGTTATGGACTGATTATAACCCCCCATTCCTCATCTTCACCGAAAGGGTTGTCAGGCATTGGAACAGGCTGCTCAGGGAAGCGGTTGAGTCACCATCTCTGCAGGTATTTAAAAGACGTGTAGATGTGGCGCTTAGGGACATGGTTTAGTGGTGGACTTGGTAGTGTTAGGTTAATGGTTGGACTCGATCTTAAGGGTCTTTTCCAACAGAAATGATTCTATGGTTCTGTCTCCCCTGGGGAGAAGCAGGGAGATAGATGAGCTGAGAATGAAGGAATGAAGTTGAGTCTGGGAAGAAGGGGGAGTGTAGGGAGAAGGTGTTTTAGTTTTTGTCTTTCTCACCATCCTCTTTTTTTTTTAATTGGCAATAAATTTAATTTTCCCCAAGTCAAGTCTGCTTTGCCTGTGATGGTAATTGGTAAGTGATCTCACTTTCATCTCGACCTACAAGCTTTTTCATTTTATTTTCACTCCCTGTCCTGTTGAGGAGGGGGAGTGAGAGAGCAGCTGAGTGGGTGTCTGGCAACCAGCCAAGGTCAACCCATCACACTTGTGTACCTATAATATCTAGTTCAACTTAAAAAAAAATTAAATTCTTTCAACCTTTTTTAAAACATACTATTGATTTAAATAGTTAATTTTGTTTGTTTTATGAACATGAATAAGAGTTTAGCTATTACATTTTGTGATCCAGTAGTAGCACCTTGTTTTGGCATCTTTTTTTAGCAGATGAAGTTAAAACTCTTAGTCCACTGTCACCAGAGGCATACAAATCTACTTCTCCCTCCAGATCTCTAGTGCAGTGGTTAAACATTCTGTAACAGGATTACTTGCCTGCTCCTGCCCTGCAATGCTTTGTTTGTCGTGCCAGCAGTGTTGTGCAGCACCACAAAGAACAGGATTGGGAAACCAGTCCAGCTGAATACTTTTTCTCCTGGCTGTTTTTCAGCCGGGTATGTTTCTTGATCCAGTTTACAGCTCAACTCTGCAAAAACCTTTTGCTGGCATAATGGAAAGAATGGAGCAGCATGGTCAGGTGAGGCATGCACTGAAGTGGGTGTTGCTGCTGGAATCGGGTCAGGGAACGGATGAAGAAAGGCTATATCTATCAGGGTGGTGTTTTAGGGATCTGTGAGATAGAGATGTGACTCCCTTGATCAGAGACTCCAAATACAGACATGCACTGTTCTCTTTTAAGTCCCAAACACTATAGTCAGTAAAATGACTTTTGAGTCAAACATCTTTGTATATTTTTTCTTGATCTTTCCTAAGGAAGTTTTTCTGAGTTTTTCCACAGCAGCGTTTGCCTCACTGGCTAGAAATGTTTAGTTTTTATTTAAGTTTACTGTAAGATGACCTAGTTCTGTATTACATGACTCATGATTATACCTCTCTTTTGCCCTCTTTCCTGCTGCTTGGACAAATTGAAGAATCGTGAAGCACTTGATTCCTTGGTCCTTTTACATCCAGAATAAATGTGATCATTGGCAAACCATCTCCCCTGAAGTTCAGCGATTGTTAAAAAAATTCCAAAGATGTGTAACTTCTCTGTTTCTATGTGAAATACCAATTTAGCAATCAATTTTTTAAAAAAAACCCAAATACCACCCCTCAATCCCAGGCGCCATAACTAATTAGACTTTTTAAGCAAGGCAACAAAACAGTAACAGGTTATCTGAGTCCTTTTAATGCACCTGCTCTTGAAGACTACCAAAAAAGTAGTAAAATGGTTCAATACAATTCATAGCAGTGAGGCAGCCGCCGCAAGATCATAGCTAGTACTATCTTTTTGAGTGTTACAGATGATCAACAGATACTAGACATCAAAGTCTCAGTGTACATAACAAGAAAGATAGCTTTCTCCTTGATGTTAACCCTCCACATTGGGAACAAGGTCATTGATGGAATTGGGGGGGTGGGCAGAAAATGTATGGGTGATCCAAGTTCTTGTTTTGTAGAAAAATAGCATTTTTAGTTGTTGTTACCAGGCAGCAAATACTTTTTAAATGTAGAAGGTTAGTTAAAAAGAATGATTATGGTATATGAAGTGTGTTGTCTGGCAGCTGGAGTTGGCAAATAACGTTATGGGTTATAGGACTTGTCTGTGCCAGACCTTCAAAATTTCGGCACAGTCTTTGTGCTCAAGGAATGGATGCTGCCTTAGTCATGAACTGCTCCAGGAGTTACAGTGATCATTTAGTATAACGTCAGCCGTTTCAGAGTTTTTGTTGTCTTTGGTTGTCCTGAAGAGGTGCTCGGATCTCTGTAGTGCTATGTGTAGTCTTTGCTCCAAATGTGTTGCCTTTTCCAGCCTTAACTAAATATTTATTCCAATGTTCGTGCATCAGGAAAATTTTTACTCATGAGGCCAGATATCTTCCTAAATAAGTTTATAATCAAGGTTGGAAGAGGATGGAGTGAGAAGACTTCTTGGTTAGGAGAAACGATACATGAGATGATTTTGCTGGCATTCAGAGGGACCTTGACAGGCTGGAGAAATAGGCCAACAGGAATCTCACGTAATTCAACAAAGGGAAAGGCTGTCTTGCGCCTGGGGAGGAATAACCGGTACAAACTGGGGACAACTGGCTGGAAAGCAGATTTGTAGGAAGGGACGTGGGGGTCCCAGTGGACAACCAAGTGATCATGAGCCAGCAGTGTGCCCTTGTGGCAATGAAGGACAGTGGTATCCTGGGCTGCATTAGGAGGAGTGCTGCCAGCAGGTTGAGGGAGGTGATCCTTCCCCTCCACTCAGCACTGGTGAGGCCACACCTGGAGTACTGGGTCCAGTTCTGGGCTCCCCAGTGCAAGAGAGACATGGACATACTAAGTGTGTCGAGCGGAGGGCTGCAAATGCATTTTAAGGGATCTTAAGGCATCTGCTATGAGCAGTGGCTGAGGGATCTGGTGGTCTTTAGCCTGGAGAAGGCAAGGCTCAGGGGGATCTTACCAGTGTATATAAATAACTGATGGGGGTTGTAAAGAGGATGGAGCCAGGTTCTTTTCAGTGGTGTAAAGTGACAGGACAAGAGGCAATGGGCACAAATTGAAATACAGGAATTTCCACTTAAGCATAAGAAGAAACATTTTTGCTCTAGGGATGATTGAACACTGGAACAGGCTGCCCAGAGGTTGTGGAGTCTGCATTCTTGGAGGTGCTCAAAACCTGACTGGATGTGGTCCTTGGCAACTGGCTCTAGTTTACCCTGCTTTGAGCAGTGGTGGTTGGACTAGACAATTTCCAGAGGTTACTTCCAACCTCAGCTATTACGTGATTCTGTGAAATGATCGGACAAGAAGGCATTTCCTTCAGTTTTGCCTCTCCAACTGTTGATTTTTCTTCACTGCGGGTGGCTCAGCTGTTGGACACAAGTGACTAATAGGCTTATAGTGAATTTGGCAGTAATTTCCAAAAGCATCCCTTCTGGAGGGGACAAAACCTGTTCTTTTTACTTACTAATTTGAGAGTGATCTGGTTTTTTTGGCTGGTTTTTTTAAGGGTGAATGGCTGGGAAAATTCTGTGTTATTCCAACTTTTTAGTGCTCATTTTTATCTTGTGCTACAGACTGAATGCCAGTGCTTCTCTCTTCTATTGCTCAATTTTTTCCAAACAGCAGAATTTGATTTTTTTTTTTAATAAACTTGTGGCTGTTCACTGTATTCAGAATGCATGGATGGAAACTGTCTGTGACTGATCACTTTCACTCTGCTGTAACTTGGCAAAGCTGTAGGAGTAAGTAGTCTTGAGAGCTCAGTTTTTGTGGAAGGCTGGGCAGAGCACATGCTGGTGGGTTACATCTGGTCTGTCTTTGGCACATTCTTTTTGAAAAAACAACATATAAAACAGTAAAATGCTTCAAAAATGGTAACGGATTTTCATGAAGCTAATGGCATCTGTGCAAGAGAGCTTAATTTTTTCCTATATAAAAAAGAATAGAGATAAGCACTTATCTTTTCCACTGTACAAAATGTATAAGTCAAACCAATGATTTTCAAACTGTCATGCGCAGTTGAACACAGTAGCCTTTGTGGTATAAGGTGTGTTGATAGTCTTAATCCAGAGCTAAAATTCCAGATTGCCTGTATATTTTGATATACTCGTTTCTGACCCTTTAACTTGTAGTTAAAGGATTTCTCATTTTCTTTTTCTGATTTGTATAGATGGGGGAAAAAACCCACATAGCTTTGTCAGCTTTTTGAGCTGAGAAAAGATAGAACATTTCAGGAACGGACTGACAACTGGAGATACGAGGCAAAGTCCATTATTTTTTCCCCTCAGTCATATAGGCTGATAGGGTATGACTAGCAGCCTTTCTTTATTGTTAACTTTTAGTATATGGTTTCAAATTACAGTGGTGTGCAACAGAAATCTGTGTAGTGATGTAGCAAAGTTGTTAGTCTTTTTTTTTTTTTTCTTTTTCTCCCCACAGGTATCAAGCATGATGGGACTATGTGTGATACTTGTCGACAGCAACCCATCATTGGCATCCGATGGAAATGTGCTGAATGCACAAATTATGACTTGTGCACAGTTTGCTATCACGGGGACAAACATCACTTGAGGCATCGGTTTTACAGAATTACCACACCAGGAAGTGAAAGGTAAAACATAATTTTTTCCCCGTGAAATTAAATAGGAACAGTTAATTGTGGTTAACTTTTAAACTGCAGATTTGGTTCCTGAAACTTGGATTAGGTAAGATAGTGGCTTGAGGTGACAAGTCTGTTACTGGTTCTCTGCATCTTTGTGAGGGAGGGTAGCTAGGACAGATATTTGGAGCTTGGAAAGCATGGAAATTTTAGAAAGAATGGAGTACAGAAAGTTAGGATATGATTGTTCAGTTTCTTTTAACCTCATTGCAGTCTTCCTAGTTCTTGTGTTATCATATAGCAGCTTTAAAACAAAGGCAATTATCTTTACACAATGTGTAATCACAAAATTATTTGTCAATGAATTCCTGAATGTGAAAGTTTTTTAATTAGGTTCAAAAATGGTGTAGACAGATTGAGGGGAAAATATCCTCCTTGTGGGCTATGAAAAACAGAATGATCTGGAGGCAAAACCTCTGACTTGAACTGCTTAAACTGCTCACTACAGAAAGCAGAGAAAAGATGCTGTGAAGGGTTGTTCTACCCTTGCCTTGGTTTTCGTGTTCTTTTCTTGAGCATCTATTGTCTGCCAGTGAAGAACTCTGAACAAAATTGGCATTTAGTGTGTTCTTGCATAGCTTTTCTTGTGTTCTTGACTTTAAATAACTTGTCTAAATCCAAAGCCCCTCTCTGTCATGATTTATCTACCAGTTAAGTGAGAACAATGATATTTGCCTGTTACTAAATACTTGGAGAGCTATGGTAAAGCATTGTCTAAAGGCTACATGCTGTGGTATCACCTCTGTGATAACTCTCCAGAATGTTCTTTCATAAGTTATTGGAAGCTTTTTTTGTTAGATATGATACTCAGTTAAATGCGACGTGTGTAAGACAACTTTTATTTCCTCTTCTTGGAGAAGGAAGGTTTACAAATATGTTGTAATTCAGTGCTTTTACAGTTAAGGGAGGTGGTTGGAGCACACAGACTGAGTTCTTGTATCGTGTCTTGTAGGGACTGTGTTTATTTTCTTCAAAGATTTGCCTTGAAGTTTAACTATGGCTTAAATGCCCAGGTCAGTGGCTTAATCAAAAAGTAACTTCTGGTTTTTTGAGATTCATGCCAGCAGATCTAGGTACCAAATAGATATCATAAGCTTAGGGTCTCAATTATAATGTTCTAATGCAGAACAAGACTTAGAAGTTGAATCCAAGAGTAGAAAGTGCTGGCTTAGTGTAATTAATAGAGAATAGGTAACAAAATGCAAATCTGTTTATTTCTTTTTTTAAAATCTCATTGCTTTTAGGAATGCTTGCCAGACTTTTTTCTTTTTTTTTTTTTTTTTTTTAGCTGAAGTTTCCTTTGTAGTTTTAAGTGGTCTGTTCTGGTGTATAAAGCATAATTTTTAGTTTTGGAGATAGATTGTATGCAATGTATAGAACTGCAGGAAATCTTTTGCATCTTGTCACTTTCTCCCTATCTTTGTTTACTCCCATTGAGCTCTGTTTTGCAACTCTTGTCTAGAAGGCAGTTTCATCTGCCAAGGAGCTGTTTCTACTGGATCAAGCTTAGCTGGGAAAAATTGATTAAAGTTAACTGTTTGAGGGAGGAGAAAAGGTCAAAGCAGTGCTATTGAATTTGAGGGATATCTCATAGGATAAATTGCAAGAGGCATCTAAGGATGTTTGGATGAAGAAAAGCATAAGCTTTACCTATTTTATTCTTGAGTCTGGGAAATCATATGGGCAGCATACTAAAGTAATGTATGCTGTTTTTTGTCTCAGTTTTATAGTATTGAGATCTTTCTAAAATTCTACTATAAACAATATATCTTTGTGTTTTCTATCACTCTTTTATATTACTTAGATAAAAATGGCTAATATTTTCATGTGCTCTTTGCGTTGATTCTAACAGTTCAACTTTTTCCTTGTCTGCCATCTGCCGGATGTTAAAAGTTTAGCAGGAGGTTGATACACTTCCTGAAGAGGTCAGGAAACATTCAGAATTTCAGCTGAAAAATACTTTTGTCTGGCAACATTTTCCTGGCATGAAGTAAGAAATCTGGTTGCATGCAGACTGATGACTTTTGAAATGACTGAAAAGGCAGGAAAATGTTTGTCTCTTTGTTTCTATTTGTAAGTTAAATACTCATGAACTGTTCTGTTTGGGCTTATCTACTTCAGTTCTGTTGAAGTCAGAGGAAAAGAAGAGGTTTGCTTTAGAAAAATAACATTATGACTGAAAAAACAGATGCTGATATATTGAATTAAATTTGCCAAGGTATGCTGTAAGAAGTATGTAGAAAATAAACTGAGATGTAGAGGGGAAAGAGATGTAGCTTTTACTTAATAGCATAATTCTGAATAAAAATGGCAGGGCAATTGCAGGACAGTAATATTGGCCTAGGGTGCATCTAAGAGAAATAGAAATGTGTTGTTTATATGACTGTTTCTTTAATGATTTTAATAATATGAGTACAGATCTATATGTAAGAAGTTACAAGATTAGTGCTGGTAGTAGGAAGTTCGGAGAAGAAATTATCATTAGAATTAAAAACTAACTGTAAACATGCAATAAATCAGATTTAGGAAGATCATGATTTTTTATCTCATGGGCTGTTGTTCAAGTTGAGAATTGAATGGATGCGATTCATGCACTGAAATCTGCGTTCGTGGGGTTATTTTTGTTTCAAGGTGCTCTCCTTCCTTCCCATTCCCAAAGATTAATTTTGGACTTTCTTTATGATCTTGACATTTGTGGGTTCTTTTTTTAATAACTTCAGGGTGTTGTTGGAGTCTCGCCGTAAATCAAAGAAAATTACAGCAAGAGGAATCTTTGCAGGTGCCAGGGTAGTACGAGGAGTTGATTGGCAATGGGAAGATCAAGATGGTGGCAATGGGCGCAGAGGAAAGGTAAAAATAAAACTGGTTTAAATAAGAAGATGCATTTCTCCATGTTGATGTAATGGCCTTGGTGGCCTTTCTACTTGTGGAGTAAAAATATCATCATAAAAGTTACTATTTTAACTTGCTGGACGTTTTTAAATCTTACTCTGTGATGCTCAAGCATTTAGAAAGAGGAGGGAATGTATACTATGACCAGTTCTTTTAAATTTAAATTTATGTTTTTACAATACCAGCACAAAATTTTTGAAACTACTAGATTTTTGTCTTGGTTGTTCTGTTTAAGCCTGGCTTGTAACAACATTAAGATCTTGGGCATGTTTCAGCATTACTAGAGAGCTGGTGTAAAAACAGAGCTCTCAAGAATAGTCCTTCCTGGTCATCACTGTGTTCTGTAGTCTTGTTGCTTGTGGGTCAACACATCTGTGTATCTCTTGCTCTTGGTTATCAGTGCCTGCACCCTGGATGGATTTTTGTTTTTCGTCTAATAATTCTAGGGACTTCTCCAGTTTACAATTAAAAACTTGGCAAGTGTTGGATATGGATATTGTATGAATGTTTCATTTGTTGTATAATAAGAATATTTGGATTTCTTGAAAATTGCATGGGATGATATGTTGCTAATAATAACCTTTGCAAATTTTCTGTTTACAACTTACATTTACCTTGAGAACCAATGAAGGTTTGTTATAAGAATGAACATACAGCAGGGAGTGTAAGATATACTATGACTTTTATCACCAAATATGAGGTGTTCTAGAAGGAGAATTGGATGCCCTTATATCTTGGTGAACTGGTGTTTTTTGTTGCATTTATTTTTAGTACACTTAAGCACCATTTAAAAGAGAGTGAAAAGTTCCTGAGGAAGATATTTAGCCTATTTTATATCCTAGACATTTATGGAAGCTTTAGGACTTCTGGGGATTTCATTTTGGATTTTATTGAGAGGAAATAATGAATTTAAATCTCTTAAAGCAAAGGATATTCAGATGCAGCTTTTTTTACCTTGATTATTTACCCCTTGCTGTGAATTTGGCAAGATATTTTGAAATCTCTGAAACTTTGCAAAGTAAGAATCTTATCCTGCATGGTCTGCTTTATGTACTAGACTTGAATTAGTGGGTTTATTTGCAAGCTGAAAATACATATAAATGCATATAAATGTTTTTAACGAGGAAAAGCAGATGGTAGATAGCAGAAACAGCATTTAAATAAATCCAAATAAGAATGAAAACATTATGGAAATGGATTTTTTTGAATAATGGAAGTGTTTTCAGAATTTGGTGCATGGCCTCATGATTTCAGAAATGTCAGTGAAAGTCCTTCTCACTCTCCTTCTTTTGTACTGTTATTAAACAGATTGGCTCTGGAAATCGAATTTTGTCTCCTAACATAGTGCACCGCCACCAGGCTAATGCAGGTTAAACCAGAAAATTGAAGCAATTAAAATAGTTTTCATCCTGTTTTTCTTAGTTAAATGCTGTTTCTAGTAAGAACATATCAAAGCATCATGAATTTTTACAGTTCAGATTTTGTTCTCTACTTGTGTAGTTAGATTACCTACCAAATATACAAAAGAAAAATAGGCCTACAAAGTATATATTCAGGCTGCCATCTTATTAAGACACCTAGGGAACACTTGTATCAAACGGAAAACAGCTTCAGGGTAAATTTTATTAAACTTGTTAAAACTGCTGTATCCTGAATTATTCTGAAGAGATGAATAAGGTTTTAAGTTCAAGTTGTGCTTCTAAGTCTTTGTTCTAGAAACATTTTTCTTATTTTTAAAACTGAATAGGTAACTGAAATCCAAGATTGGAGTGCATCGAGTCCACATAGCGCAGCATATGTTCTTTGGGACAATGGTGCTAAAAACCTTTACAGAGTTGGCTTTGAAGGCATGGTAAGTATAAAAGAACACAAAGGGTAAAATGCATGGTGGGGGAAGGGTAGTAAGAATAACTTGTTCTGCTTTATTATCCTGCTTTTGTAATACCCTTTGTCAGTTTGCATGCATTAGTCAGGTCATTGTGAATACAGCTGTATGGATCATGCATATGTAGTAGGAAGAAAGTCTGATCTGGGAATTTATAAAACATGTGACTAACTTAAAGTTAAGGGCTGGTTTCTGCCAGAGTATAGTGAATATTTATATCTCATACATGGTTATCTTACTGTGCTACTGTTGTGCTTAAATTAAAATTCAGAAAAGAAAAAGAAGCTTAGTCGTGAACTCTTTAAAAACCCTATTTTTTTAACTCCTGAACTCTTCAGTTCACTTCAAATTTTGGTGTGATTACTGCAAGATTTGCAGTTTTTAAACTACTGGCAACACTCGGAATCCTCTTGAGAGAAATTTTTTTGTCAGTGGAAAGGTGTTGATTAAGTTGCAACCTTAATTTGCTTTAGCATTAAATTTTTCTTTGTCATTTCCTAGCTTCTACAGCTACTTCTACAGCTTTAGAGAGAAAATGGGTCAGACTCTAGCCTAAGTGCCTTCTGTTGCTGGGTTTTCTTATCCTAATGTGGGTCAGGGAAAGGTTACTTTGATTATCAACTGCGTATAACATCTTAATTAGCATTTTCTTTGCATGATTTTTGTTTGATACTGCAGAGAAAAACCATGTTAACTTAACACTGAAGTGTCATCTTGTCAGATATATATCAGTAATAAAATGTTAAACAATGACTAGTCTACTTTTTTTGAAAGTAAAATATTTTGCTTTATAGCCTTGCTTGAAATAAAGTTTATTTTTATAATAAAAATAAACACTAAATACCACTTTTGCAGTGAATACATATTTTAGTGTCAGGTTTAAAAAGAATAAACATCTTTAGTGCAGGTCAGCTTTTCTGATGCATGAAGATGCTAAAGATAAAATGTCAGTATTGGATTATGTCCTTCATGGTCCCCCCCCCCAGTTCTAAAGAAAATTCCTTATATACTGGCAAAAGGGAAAGTAGTTTTATGTAGTGTTATGTAGTATAACATTATTAAACCAGTGGTTGGTATCTCCCCCTTACGTTTGATTGTGATGCATGGAGAAGGAGCACCATTACAGAAATCTAGTTAGAGTGAGATACAGGTCAACTGATTTTTTTGTTGCAACGTCAGTTACTATGTTAAAATTTGTGCACTGCATAGTGGGAGTGCTGTGGAATCATTAAAGATTCCTTCTGGCCACAGAAGAAATACATTTAAGATAAGTTACATTTTGTTCTGAAATAGTTATTCTCTTAATAATAAAAATATATTTATTATTTGTAAATCAACTATATTCTGTTGCCAAACTATTGCCACATAAAGAAGTGTTAAATATATCTAGAATACTTGATTACCTACTGCAACTGTAAATTTGAATGGATAAGGGTGACCCTTCCCACAAGATTTGTACAAATAGAAATATATAGGATAATATATAATATATGTACATATGTATAAAAAGTATAATTTGAGGCTTTATATGTAGTGCTTACCTGATTGTAATCCATTCCTACAATAATTTTATCTTTGTCGGATACTTTTATCAAGTGCAGTTTTCACTTCAGACGGAACAGATTCTTGGATATCTGTGACAAAGTCATTTGAATGTAAAGCTAGATTTTATAACTGATTAATTGCTTGCTAAGTGTACAATTCATTATGATTATTTACTACTATTTATGTGCCATTATGTAAAGCTGACTAATAGACTGTCAGAAAGTTCATGTAAAGTTGGGGCAAACTTGTCTTGGGACTAAGAAATTGGATATGAATGTCCAGAGAATGTGGAATCAACAATACCCAGTGTGTGCCCGTGTCAATACAGCTGGGAAGAGACCCCTACTTGCAAATGAATAACACTTGACTTGGATGCAAATGGAGCTGATTAAAGAAACACAGCTTATTATTGTAAGTCAGGGTTGCTTGTTTCATAGCTGACAGGCTGCATCTGGTCCTCAAAATTAATCTATCTGGCCTGCCAGCTTTTCCTTGGGAGAGATGAGGACTGGCTGGTGGGGCAGCAGGTGCTGGCTGAAAACTTGCATTTATTTGTGGTCAGATCCTTAGAGTTTTTATTTGAGTTTGCTGTTGCTGTGTTTACATATGAAGTGGTTGAGAGGGGTGCATCTTGCCTTTCTTTGTGAAGCCTAGCAATTTAAATCTGGGAGTTTCTGCTGCCACAGGCCACAAATTCCCAAATTAAAATCTGTTTTTATGATACTGTTAGGTTGAGTAATGTGTTTGCTACATCCATAGTAGGAATAAAATACTGTTGGCTAATACGGTTTTTGACACTGCTTGCATTTCATACCTATATGTATTCAGATTCTAGAGCCAGACCAAGCTGTTAACAGCATTACCTGTTTTAGAATTGTGTGAACATAGCCTTTTGCAATAAAAAGATACACTATGTGGAATTAGAGGGTTAATGAGAAGATTGTGATTTAGCTTTTTGGACTTGTTTTTAGTTTTTATTTCTTCATATCACACAGCTGAGGATGTAAAGCTGGTAACTTCCGTTGGTTTTCAATAAGCATTATATTCTACTACTTACTAATAGAATGATTTTGCTATAAAAACTTGAGAAAATAGTTCCATCAGCAGGAGTGCCCTAAATCAGTTTCATTAGTTAGGAACCAGTTTTGTGCTACCAAATTTCTTTGCTGTTGCCTTTTTTTGCTGTGATTAACCTCCTCCTCTTGTTTTTCATTATGGAGGATCTTGCTTTCAACTATGTAGCCTCTAAAAGAAGTAGCTGTTGTTATCATCCATCATTGTCACAGTAATCTATAAGCCATCTGTGTTTGTGTACTTCTTTCCACGAATTCTGAATAGTTGAGTGCATAAGGGAAACTGAGAAGATTCCTTGCCCTTGTGTTTCTGGTGTTACTTTAAACTTTTTTATCCTGATTGATACCTAGTGTCTGTTCATCAACATTTATTTGGGTAACCCTTAAAGATAATCCTTGAAATTACTCTAGAGGATTTTAAGAATGACTTATTAACACTTTTTAAAAATAAAAACAAGGTAAATGTCTTAGCATACTAGGCATTGCGGGTGAGTGTTGTAAAATGTATAGAAACATGCTTTCTGCTGCAGTTATAACTGTCAGATCTGTAATGTAAGTCAAATCTTCAGCTCTCGAGTCCTTTATCTTGTCCCTAGTACATTCAAAATGACGGGTTTAGGAAGGAGCAACAAGAATTTTCATTATCTTGTTAGTTCAGTGTCGTCCTGTTGCTTATAGGTGCTGATCAAAACTGATTTAGAATAGAAACATGAATTTTGGCCACCTTTACACATGCAGCAGGTGTTTTTTATTACATTACTCACAGTGTAGCCAAAGTTAGGTAGTTGTTTTGGAATCTGGAGAGGAAGGAGATATTTATGTATACGTTGTGCATTTGTTTGCATTTGTCAGCAGACTTTTTGTTTCTTGTTTACATAGTCTAATTTCTCTACATTTCTCCTGTAGTCTCAACCAAGCCAAGTTTTTCATCCCTCTGTAACTGAGTTGCTTAGAAATATATTTCTGTTAAGCAGAAGCGTACTTACTGATCCTTTTCCAATTTTGTTATTTACAGTATTAACCCACAAGGAAGACTTTAAAATGATCCTCCTTAAAAAAAAAAAGAAGTTAGATGTGGAAAGTTTTTATAAGTACCTATAATCAATAGACAGTAAGGTTATAAGCCGTTCACTCAGCATTTGCCTGAGGTCTGATTTCTTCTGTAAAAAGCTATTGCTATTGTTTTTATACCTCACACCTCTTTGTCATTTCACTTTCTCTACCATCATCTTCTTTCTCCTTTTACTGCTTTCACTTTTCTCAGCTTCTTGAAACTGAAAATTATTTGAGTTCATTAAATTTGAAATACAGCATTTCTTATAAACCTTTAGCTACAACTTACCGATTTATCCGGTCTCTTGTTGTCTTAATCGGGTGACAAAGCAGCACACACTGGGCTTTCTCCATTGGCCGTGTAAGGGCATATTTCCTTGCCAAAAGCTATTGTGAGCTTAAAGACTTAAAATGACCTTTAAGGGGTGTATTCATTGCTACCTCAAACACCTGCAGCTG